CTTGGACTCGCTCCATTGGATCGAGGGCGTTGACGAGGCGATACGTGAGCGCAGACTCCCCACCAGAAACCAACACTTGCACGACCCGATATGGACCCTTCCAGTGCGGCGCCAGCTTCATACGGCTCTCCGTGGGGTTACTGATCCACACCAGCGCACCTACCACATAGGGGCGATGACAGCTACCCTGGTCATAGTACAGTTTCTGTCTTTCCTGAGCTTCAGCCGAGTTAAGCCTGGCAGCGCTGAATGCTGACCCCAGTCGCTCTGCAATGACGGAGGCATAATCCATCAAAGATCCAGTACCCCAGGAGTCGGGCGCATTAGCGGGCACTAGCACATCCGCTGGAACACGGGCCTCACGTCCATGCATGAGAAAAAATGGAGTAAACTGGGTGGTGGCATGCTTAGAGGTGTTGTATGCGAAAGCAACATGCTTCACATACGTGTCCCACTCACCGCCATGAGAAAGCAACAGCTTGGCCAGCTGATCGATCAAAGTCCGGTTGTGGCGCTCCACCATGCCATCCGATTTGGGATTATACGCAGTGGTACGGGTTTTCTTAATCCCCAGCAGCTGGCAGAGGATCTGGATCACTTCCGCCTCGAACTGACGGCCCTGATCACTATGCAGGATTTCGGGAACCCCATGCACCAATACATAATCCTCAAACAGGCAGCGTGCCACTGAAGGCGCTGTCTGGTTAGGCAACGCATATAGGGAAACAAACTTAGTAAAGTAGTCCTCTACCACTAAAATATACCTGTTCCCCCGGGATGTTATGGGCAGCTCCAAGATATCTGCGGCTACCCGCTGCAAAGGCCGGCATACTTGGGCCTCTCCCATAGGGGCCTTGGACCCTGGGACCGGCCTCCTGCGAGTCTGACAGGCCAAACATTGCTCACACCACTGCCTTATGTCCCTCAACATGAAGGGCCAGTAGCAGGACTTTCTGGCCTTTTCCCACACACGTTCTGCTGAGAAATGTGCAGCAGCTGGCCCCCCATGCAACTGTTGAAGGAGTTCCGGCACCAGGGATGCAGGGACAACAGTCTGAATCTGCTTCTGTCCGGTGTTGTCAGTGAACGCTGTGCGGCAGAGCAGCCCGTCAACCACAGACAGACGGTGAAACTCAGTCCACAGTTTCCTCAAGCTGGCAGAGGAATCCCGGGGCAGTTTACGAGGCCGTCGCACCCTGCCTTGCTCTAGCCATGTCAGAACAGTACTGATGTCAGAGTCCTCACGCTGCAGTGCCTGCAACTCAGCTCCCCCATCACCGAGGGTATAGACCAGAACTGACTCCGCTTCCACATTCCCAGCCGTAGAGTGGTCAGACGTCTCCACAGAAGCCACAGTAACAGGTCCAGTTGCAGGAACATTTGCCTGGACAGGGTCAGGGGACACAGGCCGGCGGGACAGAGCATCAGCATTCTGATGGCGTGCGCCATCCCGGTGCACCATGACCCAATCAAATGGATCCAGCTCCAGCACCCACCGGCTCCTACGTCCAGTTGGATCATTATCAATAGCCATGCGCCGCAGGCCCAGCAGAGGGCGATGGTCCGTGATGATGGAGAATGCAGACAACCCCACATAGTGTTTGAACTCACGCACAGCCCACACCACGGCCCATAACTCTCTATCGAAGGTGGACCATCTCCTTTGTGTGTGGGTGAGAGCCTGGCTGGCATAGGCTACCACCTTCTCACAGCCATCTTCATCCTGCGCCAGGACTGCTCCAACAGAGTCTTTAGATGCGTCGGTGTACACCTTGAAAGGAAGTGCAAAGTTGGGCAGCGTCACCACCGGAGAAGAGGTGAGAACTTGCTTGAGGTAGCTGAATGCAGCCTCACACTCAGCCGACCACTCAAAGGGGACGTTCTTTCCAGCCAGCCGATTCAAGGGTGCCGCATGTTGGGAGAAATTACGCACAAATCTCCGATAATAGGAGCATAGGCCCACGAAGGCCCTGACCTCCGACGGGGTGCGGGGAGTTGGCCACGTCCTCACCTTGTCTGTGTTCCGTGGGTCTGGTCGGAGACCATCTCTGGAGACTAGGTGGCCCAGGAAAACGACATGGTCCCTGGCAAAGCAGCATTTTTGCGGATTCAACCTCAGACCCGCCTTCTGGATCCTGGATAGGACTTTATCCAAATGAAGGAGATGATCAGTGAATGTACGGCTATAAATCAGTATATCATCCAAATACATCATACAAATGTGCCATGGCAGGCCCCTGAGAATGAGCTCCATCATGCGTTGGAAGGTGGCTGGCGAATTAGACAGTCCCATAGGCATGGCCCGCCACTGATACAGGCCCCGTCCGGTCGTGAAAGCCGTCTTCTCACGGTCCTCCTCAGCCACTTCCACCTGCCAGTAGCCATTTGAAAAGTCAAGTGTGCTGAACCAGACTGAACCAGCTAAAGCGTCCAGGCTATCATCCACTCGTGGGAGGGGGTGTGAGTCTTTGATCGTCACTGCATTTAGACGACGATAGTCAATACAGAACCTCCACTGCCCCCCTTTCTTTCTCACCAGCTCATCCTCACAGTTGCCGCCGCCCCTGGCTGTAGCTCCAACGGCCACCTCTAGCTGCCTTGCCCAGCTGAGGAAACTCTGGCTGCCATCCCCGGTGAAAGGAGGGGGGAGGTCAATCTTAACATCACTGCCCGGTGAGTATCTGCCAAGCCTGCTCGGGCTGGGTTTAAAAGGGTCCTCATCTGCCGACCACATGTCCTTTAAGTGCTGTTTTCTACCGCACCGCACGAGGTTAGCTAGCCGGCTATATCGGAGATGCTATGCTAACCGACTGACAATTAGCCGTCACGGGCTAAATACGCTACGAAAAAAACTTAGAAAAACAACGGGGGTTTAGTAGAGGAATCCCACCGCTGCCACCAATGTAACCGAGCGTTTTGGGTCCGTATTACGTACTTTATAGGCAATAACGGGACAAGAGACGGGTCGGAGTTTTCGGCGGTAGCCCCGCTTCCGGTTTTATTTCTTCTTCTTCTCTCAACACATAACCACAAACTCACAAGCTCCCCCTGCCGTACACCCGGCGAACTTTCGCTCCCCGGCAACAGGGATGGACACCACTTTAACATACAGACATAGAACAGTCTGTTACAATATTAGGCTTAATATGAGAATTCACTGAAAATAAAAATGTTTCATGTTATTAATGGTGCCATTAATAAAAGAAAATGCACTCAACTCACAAAAATATGAATGTCAATAATGTGAATAATTACATGTATCATTTATTTATTTAATGCATTAAATATACAATTAAATTATTTTATGCACAAGATGATAATTAAAACGGCAATAAAATGCTTGAGTATATATTTGAAATTATGCAAATAATAATAATAAGTAGTTATAGATGAATTCTTAGAAATGCTCTTTAGTTATTTCACTTTTTTTAGATGCCTATAGAGCTAAACAGAATGACATACTTGGGAAAGAGGGTTGGTACTGATGTTCCAAATAAACATGGTAAAGGAGATTACCATCAGGTGTCAGGTGTCCTGATCTGATCACAGTCACACATCTGGATCCAAAACTGTCAATTATAGCGATTAGACAGTTCTTAATGCAAAGACCTCCTAGGACACCATTGGGCAATAAAATCCTTCCCTACAAGGACCCTATGGTCCAAAAATGTAGTATCTCTTATCGCATATATTGATTTATCCTTTTTAATCACTATAAAACTTTTCACTCAGTCTCTTTCACCTGCAAGTCCACACAATTCCACACAATTCCTGTGCGCGAGGGTCCAGGCGTGTAGACCAGGCTTAGCTTCTTCCGAACCAGCAAGATTCTTTCTCAAGGATTATTCATAACATGTTACTGTTAACAAAACTGTCTGTCATTTTTTTATTTTGACTCTGACTACTTTCTAATATTGTAAGTAAGGGGAACACACTCTGTCCAGGCAGAACAGGGCTGATTACAAAGCGAAAAAGTCTGTATGATAAACTGTTCTCTCTTTGCAAAGATATAAAAATAAAGTGCCGACTGAGTGAAATCCATCAATCTCTGTCTAATTAACTGTGGTGAATAGTTGAATACTTTTTTCCCACTACAACCCTCAGATCAGCATGCAGGTTCATGTGTATTCATCCATTTGCATTGTATTGGATCAACAGACTCTATAAGAACAGGTTCCTGTGTTTTGCTTCACAGGTGCTTTAAGCTGATTTAAGAGAGCCTGAAAAGTAACACAGATGGTTTCCCTATCCAGCCCCCAGGAGAGTCATTCTTTACCTGTCATATTCAGACTGTAGCGCCTGCCACGATCAGGGCAGGAGCTGCAGATATAGTTACACGGAAACGTAGCGAAGCTTAATTTTTCGATTGAAAGGAAAATCTTCAGTCGGGGGCGACTAATGAGCATTTGTTTTTATGGCAGCTGGTGACACTGGTCTACATCACCACTGAGAAGCTGACCCATGAAACTGTAGTTGTTTTTTGTTTTTTACTGATCTGACAGCATCTGCTTATTCTGTTTATTTTTTAAATAAACTAAATTATTCAACATATTACTGAGGATAGTGCTTCTATCTAAGAATGCACATGGTCACTAAATGAGTCATTGAAATATCTTTCACTGGAGTATGCCAGAAGATGCTCCAAAGTCACCAAATCCCTCAAAGAAAGCCATCTTTCTTTGGTCAAATTCATTGAAGTTGTATTTATAATTATGCTTCTTGCTTAATAAAGAGAATCCAAAAGGGTATATTTACTATTAAATAAACAAAAGTAAAGTGGAACAACTTTTATGAGACCTGATCTCTGTTTTGCACATTTCCCTGTGATTAATGTTTCTCCCTGATGGAGGGAAAGAGAGCCAAGTTGTTTTCTGACTCAGATCTGCATAAAAACAGAACAGCTCACTGAAATGAGTGAATAATCCATTCCCTAGATTAGCCTTGTTTGGGAAAAAACAGAAGCTGTATGCTAAATTTGAAATCGGTGGAGGTTCACTTACCTTTTATAAGAACTGAACTGGTTTTAAGTTCCTTGAAAAAAAGTTCTTCAAACGTTGAATCCAAGGAAGAAATCCTCTGGAAGTACTGCTTCCTTCTTGTTGTCTCCTGCTGTAAATATTCCCATATCTCAGAACTCTCTCCTTCTGCTTTGCTCAGCCCCTTATTCCATCTGTTTCACCTCTCTGTTTACTACGGTGGCTGAGAAGTGCAAAACACATTTACAATTCAAAAACACATTAACAAATAAAAAACAAGATAACATTTGAAGAAACAAAATTATATTTTGTGAAACAAATGTATTTTTGAAAAAAAAGTTAAAATTTTTAAAAACAAATTTACATTTTAGCAAACAAATTTACATTAACAAATAAACAAAATAACATTTGAAGAAACAAAATTATATTTTATGAAACAAATGTATTTATGAAAAAAAAAAGTTTAAATTTTTAAAAACACATTTACAATTCAAAAACACATTAACAAATAAAAAACAAAATAACATTTGAAGAAACAAAATTATATTTTATGAAACAATTTATTTTTGAAAAAAAAAGTTTAAATTTTTAAAAACACATTTACATTTAAGGAAACAAATTCACATTTTAAATAAGTTAGATTTTAGGTGAGAGAAAGTTTCATTTTAGAGAAAAAAAATACATTATAGGGAAACAAATTTACATCTAAAAAAAATTGACCGTTCGGAAACACTTGTACAAGTGCAAAGACAAAACTGCAAGTGGCAAAACACATTTACATAGCCAAAACAAATTAACAAAAGACGGCTACACGGAAAGGGAATGTCCCAGTGGCCGGATGTGACGTCACGATTACCCTCACTTGTAGTACAAACAGATCAATCTGTAGTCCTCCTGCTTCACGTGAAAAGTCAGCGGCGATTTTAGATGGAAAGAATTGCACTGAAGCTGTTTTTAAGTTTACGCTAACCGAACAATGTTTTCAGCCAATTTACACCATTTTGTTCTTCGTGCGGACGGTCTCTGGAACTTTTACGGGACACGGACCAGGTGGCAGGACCAATCAGCAGGGCCGAGCTCAATTCGTGGAAGTGGCTGCGGCAGAGCCTGCCATCGGAGAGGCCGATGGTGGCCGCTGCCGGCAGAGCCTGCCATCGGAGAGGCCGATGTTGGCCGCTGCCGGCAGAGCCTGCCATCGGAGAGACCGATGGTGGCCGCTGCCGGCAGAGACTGCCATCGGAGAGGCCGATGGTGGCCGCTGCCGGCAGAGCTTGCCATCGGAGAAGCCGATGGTGGCTGCTGCCGGCCGAGGCCACTTATTCGCAGATAAAGTACTCCGTTCCATCAAGTAAATGTTACATTATAAAAGTTTTAATGCAGTTTATTAAGCACTAACATCACAATAAAAAGAAACCCATAAAGAATACATTTTAATACAGGTTATTAAGCGATAACATCACAATATATAGCCTATATATATATATATATATATAAAACAATCTAGTTAGAAGTACTATAAATAAGGCATTTGCCGAAAAACGGCAGGAAAAATACCCAAAAAATAATTAAATACCAAAGAAAAGTAATTAAAAAACTACATGACAAAATAATAGTGGCTCCGGCCAGTAATACGCCCGGCTCTGCTGCTTGGTCCTGCCACCTGGTCCGTGTCCCGTAAAAGTTCCAGAGACCGTCCGCACGAAGAACCAAATGGTGTAAATTGGCTAAAAACATTGTTCGGTTAGCGTAAACTTAAGAAAAACAGCTTCAGTGCAATTCTTTCCATCTAAAATCGCCGCTGACTTTTCACGTGAAGCAGGAGGACTACAGATTGGTCTGTTTGTACTACAAGTCAGGGTAATCGTGACGTCACATCCGGCCACTGGGACATTCCCTTTCCGTGTAGCCGTCTTTTGTGAATTTGTTTTTGGCTATGTAAATGTGTTTTGCCACTTGCAGTTTTGTCTTTGCACTTGTACAAGTGTTTCCGAACGGTCAATTTTTTTTTTGATGTAAATTTGTTTCCCTATAATGTATTTTTTTTCTCTAAAATGAAACTTTCTCTCACCTAAAATCTAACTTATTTAAAATGTGAATTTGTTTCCTTAAATGTAAACGTGTTTTTAAAAATGTAAACTTTTTTTTTCAAAAATAAATTGTTTCATAAAATATAATTTTGTTTCTTCAAATATTATTTTGTTTTTTATTTGTTAATGTGTTTTTGAATTGTAAATGTGTTTTTAAAAATTTAAACTTTTTTTTTCAAAAATACATTTGTTTCATAAAATATAATTTTGTTTCTTCAAATGTTATTTTGTTTATTTGTTAATGTAAATTTGTTTGCTAAAATGTAAATGTGTTTTTAAAAATTGTAACTTTTTTTTCAAAAATAAATTGTTTCATAAAATATAATTTTGTTTCTTCAAATGTTATTTTGTTTTTTATTTGTTAATGTGTTTTTGAATTGTAAATGTGTTTTGCACTTCTCAGCCACCGTAGTTTACACCCCCTCTCACTCCAGCTCTGGAGACACCCCTTGTTCTGCTCAGTCTTTTTTTATTTTAAGCAGTGTCCTTTCTGGCAATGTGGTAATAAGAATAATTGTCTTAATGCCGAAAAGAGCCCAACAGATTTTTCTTTCACAAGTGGAGCAGTATGTTGGGAGCTGGAGAAATCCCATCTTTCTCCAGCAGAGTCCGCCGTGGATCCTCTGAGGGAGCCTCCTGCACAGCTGCAGCTCGTCAAAGATCATCAGAGGATCCACTATATAAGCTGTCTTCAGACCTTTCCTCAATGCCGCAGTGTTGTTCCAGTTGGTCAGCGCTAAAGCCTAGATCCTCAGTGTATCTCCATGACTTTGAATCCAGTCTGGATTCTAACAACTGTCTCTGTTTTCCAGGAAACCCGTGCCTCCTCTGTGAGATCTCTGGAAGAGCTAACCTGCCGAGCCGACCCTCTGAGCCAAACCCTGAAGATTCACAGAGAACCACCAAGCAGCTCAGGACTAGAGCTGGGAAATCTAAGCCAAGGTCTGTTCAAGCTAAGACGTGAGACGCTGAAGCAGCAAACGGACTCTGCTGACAAACCCTTCTCCAGAACCAACAGTGACTCTCCCAAGGTTAACCTGAAGAACCCTCAAGGTACTATCAGTGAACCAGTGGAAATCAAACCCTGTCAGCAGTCACTAACTGTGCTGTCTCTCACGCAGACTCCGGTGAACCAGTTCCCAGGCCCGAACCAGAATCAGTACATTCTGTGTGTTTTGTGCTTTAATAAACTGTTGAACTTTTCATCCTTGTGTCCGTCAGTGGTGTTCTGCATAACTGGGTCTCCTTCAGTGAACCCATCATGACACAGTATGGCTATCACCATAGTGTTCTGCTCTATTTATGCAGATAAAAAGCTTTATTATAATTATATAGGGAGTTTTACAGATTATATGGACACTGCAATGTAAATAGAACAGGAAAGGGAAAAAAAGGAGAAAAGATTAAAGAAGGAGGAGATAAAAGCGAGATAACGATAAAACGTCTTCTGTCTGCATCATCACCTGCAAAGAGATGTAAAAGAACATCACAACCAACGGATATAGTATAAGTGGCACCTTGATACTATTGCTGAAGCATAAGTAGTATTATTTAATTTGACATGTATACACTGTTGTAGCTGAAGATAAGAATATAGGCTTTCTGTATAGAACTGACTCTCTAAGTACCTGGAACCAAGTACCTGTAGTTGTTTGTGAGAGTGGACTTAAAGCATATAAAGTTTATCCAAAGGAAAAATGCTCAACAGTGGTTGTCAAGAGCCGAAGACGCGAGCCTTGAGAGTACTGAGGAGAGCGTCGGGAGACTCAAAGCCCCAGACGCCCAAAGGGACCCCAAGAGCAAAGGCGCCCAGGAGGGGCCAACCCAGGAAATCCGACTCCACACCAAGGTAGGAGGAGAGACGGCCCAGAGGAAAACCCCCAGCCACCGCAATGCCGGAGCCCCCAGGAGCCGCGGGGACGAGTCCGCGGGCTACGCCGGCAGCCAGCCACCTCGAAGTGGATTCGGCCATGGGTCCCTGGAACCCATGGAATGGGCTCCGCACTTAGCAGAGACTTGAGATCCCAGGGACCCATGGCATTGGCGGCAGGCCCCGCAGAGCAGCTGGCAAGAATAAGCCTGTATCCGCCCGGCAGCATCCACTCCCAAACATCGAGCACCACCAGTGCACCGGTGAGCCCAGGCGCCAGCCAGTGGAGGGGGGGAATGGGCTCCGCACTTAGCAGGGACTTGAGATGTTCTTGGGAGAGAAAGCAGTTCAGACCCCAACCTTACAAAAAAAAAAAAAAACCCGGACTCACATTCACACATAGCACTCACATCCAATACTCCAATAATGTTGTAATATTAAGAGAATAAAGTCCTAAAGTTACGAGAAACAAGTTGTATTTGATAAAAAAAACTCTTACAAGAAGCACTTTCTTCACTAAAATGAGGAATGTCGATCATATGTGACATTCCTCATTTTAAAGTATAAAGTTTTCATTTTAAAAGCAAAGTATAACTTCATAAGTGAAGTTATACTTTGGCTCTGGTATGACAGATAAGGAAATCTTGTAGCACCAGCATCACATTGGGCAGGATGTCAAAGTGGATTCAGGTTGCTGATTGGTGGAGCTGGTCGGCCGTCATCTGCTGGTCGGAGCTCAAAGCTTTCTTTCTGAAATGGGTTGTTGTATGATGACTTAATTCTTATTATGTTATGATTTTATTCTCATAATATTACAACTTTATTCTCGTAATCTTACAGCTTTATTCTTGAAATAAAAAAAAATAAATAAATCTCTAGCCTGGTCCTAATAATCCGTCATAGTTTTAGGCTTCAACTGCTCACTATATTTGTGTAACTCGTTTTATTGTAGTTCTTTCTCAAAAGGCTGTAGTCTCGGTTATGACAAGCGTCATCCATGTGCATTTCTGTCCTATAATGACAGGAAGGCTGTCCGGCACCAGATCCGGAGTTCCTTTCCCATCCTGGAAAGTTTTCTTACTGTTGATCCCATGAAAGGTGAAAAAGGATAGGAGCTAAAAACTAAAACTAGAAAAAGCTGTTTCGGAGAAACATCAAAGTGGGAATGCTTTTGCTGAATGAAAAAAGCTGAAATGAACTGCAGAACATATAAAAATGTGATAGGAAGTCATTAGAAACTT